CCACCTGAAAATATCCAGAAAATCTCTCAGTACTCAAATGAAGGTAATAACACAGACTCTATGTGATGTTCCTTCACCCTGCCAAATCTGTCCTAGAGAACTAATTATATTAATTTTGTCTTGAGAATTCTGTCTGCGACTGATTAAAATGCCTGAGTTAATACCATTGCAAGGAGAAAAAAAGCTGTAACAGGAACAGTGCCATGACTACAAATGACAGTGGTAAAGAGAATAAGTTGTGGCAAGTGTTGGCTAGAAAAAAATGAAGGGAAAAAGATAAGTGCCTCTTCTTGCAGCAAAGTATTCACTGCATTGATATGCAGGATTTAGATAGACAGACCACAATAAAAGGACAAAAAAACAGCTAAAATCAAATAATTTGACCTCCAAAGCCAGACCCTGCACAAAATGAAATGCATGCAGACACCTGATTTACAAGCCAAAAACCCACATGTCCATCTTTGGTGGAGAGATGTTGGGAGTGTAAAGAGGCAGGTGCTTATGTCTAGCTAAATAGTGCAATCACTGTTTAACTGTTTTTTTTCTGTTTTAATAAGTGCATGGTAGTAATATCCTTTGTAGTCTGTGCAGACCTGGCTTAAAATATCCAGTGTTACCATTACTATGTCTCCATGTTTTGCTGTTTTGATGCTGTTTTGATTTTTGAGACAGGCAGATTTGGTGAAGGTTTGGTTGCTACTACTTAATAGCAACTCCAGAGGAGCCATCTATTTAAAACTGTATTTGATTTCCAAATCACGAATCTTAGTAAAGCTGCTTAGAATTTTTTCATTGGAAAATAAATGAAAGGAGTTTTTCTCAGATGTTTATTAAAAGATTTAAAAAAATATGTCTTGATTTTTAACTACATCATAAATAGGAGTATGTAAGCTGCAAATACTAAGAAAAAAAATACTTGCAGGACCAACATATTGGTTTCTTAAAATATTTAAGTATTTTAATGGAATTTGCACTTAAAATCTGCAGACAGTCACAGTTTAATTCTAAAAGTCAGGGAATACTGCTATAAAAGTGTCATAAAAAATTCCTGGTTTTTCCTTTGCCTGACCACAGGGTGACTAAGAGCCCCGTGCTGACCAACACAGGCTGCTCTGGCAGTCACCAGGCAGTGCAAGAGCCCATAATGCAGCCACTACAGACAAGGGTGTTTGAAATTATTTCAGGTCTTCCTAAAATTGTATGGCAGGCTGAAAAAAGAAAACCCTGTGAATCAGAGAACTATAAACCTCTTTATGATCCCTTCCATCCCAGCTTTACTACGAAAAACTACAGGAAAGGCAAAAATTTGGTATTTGAGATGACATCATCTGATTGCAGAGCACAACAACAAACAGTTGAATCATTCTTTTGACTTACAAGCTACTTTCACTTTAATATTATTGTTAACAACTTCCATTCAGGATTGCAATGAATGACTGTTTATCTCATCTAGATTCTTTTACCTTGTTTAATTCCTAAATTCATAAAAATGAAAACCTGACTTTGTAATAATGGTTATGTATGGCTATGTTGTGAGGAGTTCTTTCAATTGACAAGTTTTCAAATTATCTGTTTCTATTGTTTTCTTAAATTTTTGTTTTTACTGGATCCAAATTACGATTGCTTTATTAAAAACAAGTCTTGCATGTGCTGCCATACTGTTACTATCCCCATTTAGGAAAAAAAAAAAATCATCTTTATAAGCAAAACAGAATACTATGTTCTGGATTTGCTTTTTATTTGCTACATGTGCATGTTATTTGCTGAAATCAAACTAATAGCATAGGAAAAGCCTTCTGTTGAATCTGTTGAATCCTGGCCAGACCTGAAGCTCATGCCACAAGGAATATCTTCTCAGTGAGTGGCCCCTTTTAAATCAAGCTTAAACCAAGCAAAGTGGCCCCTTTGAAATCTTGCCCCATAGAGCAAACCGTTTTCTGTATGGAGTAAGTGCAGCAAAGTTTGGTCATTTTAGGATGTCATGAGATGGATTTCCTGAAATGAACGTGCCATAGTTAAGACCAATGCTGACAGCCTGCCCTTGCCCCTCTGAGTCTTTCCATCTCCTCCTGAGCTTCCTGCAAGTGGCAGAAATGTTTGTTAAACAACTGCCAGACTGTAGAATGGGACTCTGGCTTACAGGACTAGTCCCACTTGCTTAAACAGGACTCTACTTATGTGAGAAGTGGTCTGAGGAATTCACTGCCTGATAGGCTAATTTAGAAATGCAGACTGCAGGCGTGTGGGTTTGCGTGTAAGCATGTTGAAGAGAAAGGGAAGTTCCCAGTGGGGTCACAAATCAGACATTTGCCCTTTCTCTGACTCCTACCAGTCTATCTTTTCAGATGTGAGACTTCTCCACTTTGAAAGAATATGTGACTGACTTCTTCACCCCCACACTTTCAGGATGAAACACTCACTGCTCCAACGCTGCAGTTAGGTGCAGTGTTGCAATGCTGGGTTGAGAGACATGCTTACACTTGGAGCTGAAAAGCCCTTACCCTCTCCTCAGTGCTGCTTTGGCAGTGGGCTGGATCCATATCATGATTCTGAGCCCAGGTCTGTGCCTGAGGTCATGTCCAAACACTTCTAGTGACAAAACAATAGTAATGACAGTCTGCTATCAAGGCTCCAGGGAAAAAAAGCCTGCCTTAGTGTCAACACTCCCCTTGGAATGCAGGTAAGGGCACTCACCTGCAGTGAGAGGGGCTGGCTACTGCCGTCTCTGTCTACAACCAAGCCATGGAGCCAAAGTTTTTCCAGGGAGGACTTCCATATCACCACTGTAGCTTGAGGAGTGCCTGCTTGAAAACTTTACAAAACAAGGAATTCACAGCCAGGCCATGGTGTCCCCTGAGGAGCAGCATGGCATGCAGGGCTGGCTATGGACTCTGGTTACGTCTGCCTCCTGGAGCAGCAACTCAATGTCACTACAGCTGCCACTGCATATTCAAAGAATGAAATGGGCTAAAACATTGAAAACTGATTTAGGCATCCCATGGAAAGCTTTCTTCTGCACAAAGTAAAAATTAAAGAGGAAACCTCTTCCTATACATTTTCAAACATTTGGTAAAATTTTGGTAAAAAAAATACTGTGGCATTTTAGTAACATCCACCTACACTAAAACTAAACTCTGCATAGAATGGATTGTTATTGTATTTCATGTATTGTAACCTGTACTCTCCAGCTTACAGGTGAGAGAAAGCTTATGCCAATCTAAGGCATACATAATCCTTTCTGGAAACAAATACCAATTATTTCTCAACTGTAATTTCTCTATTAGATCAATGCCAAATGATGCAAAAAATTATCTAGACTTGACAGTGAAACAGGAAGAGACCTAACACTTTTCTACACTGAAAGGCTTTAATAAGATACCACATAAAAAACCTGTAACTCTCTCAAACCGGAAAAAAACATCCATGCTGATTGTAGTGTATTCATTTTCATAAGCAAGTATATACTAATTCAGATCCTAAGACTAAAGCAAATTTTTTAAAAATCAAGTAACTCTAATTCTTCTCCTTTGAACTCTTGAATCTTTCCACTTACCATAAAGAACACTCAGTAGCTTCAGAAAAAGCTGTGAAAAGAGAATGTTGCAATAGTTACAGGGTGTGTATGTGGCACAGATAAAAGTGTATTTCTATTGCTTATTTCCATTATGACAGAACTCAACAAAGTGCTAGGCTCTCTTCAAGCCAATGTCAAGAAACAGATTCTGCCAAAACAACATGAAAGAAATGTTGCAAAGGTTGCATTGTATTCCTTAAAAGTTAGGAAATATCAGAAGCTGGGATACCGGTAGAACCTTAATTCAACCCTTCTGTGCATATCCATTATGATCCAGTCTTTAATTACATGATCACATACCATTTTCCTTTATTTTTCCTCCCTAGGGCTTCTGCTTCATTTAAAGAATCAGATGAGCTAAATAAGGCAGTTCTTAAATGTTTACATTTATCTTCTTCAGCACCCTGCCATTAATGTATCAGTGAGCATCTTGCACTATTAAGCAGGCAAACTGCCTCCTCTGTGTCTGGAGCTGCAGAGACAGGAGTAGACAGCTGGGAGCTGGCCAGAGAAAAAAGAACCCCTTTGTATATCCCAAAATGTGGAAGCACTGAAGAAGTTCAGAATGGCATGACAGATCAGTGAAACATGGTGGCAACTGGCAGGAAGCTAAGCTACAAAGCAGCAACAGGCTACGGTGTGGCCGGTTTGTCTGATGCTCTCCATTAGAGTCCAGTCAAGAAAAGTTGACGTTGCTTCATGCCACGAGCTGCATGCCAAAGTCCTCCTCATCAATTAAGAGCCTGCAGGCTGTAAAGATGAGGATCTCTGGGAGAATTTCACAGGCCAGAAATGGCAGCAGCTCCTTTGCTGTCCTGCCTAGCACTGAGATGGAAATGGACTTGCCTGGACTGGGAAAACAGCATCAGCAGCTCCAGTTACCTTGCTCACACCCATGGACAGGGATGAGATCCTCCTGGCAGGCATCTCAAGCCTCGGCCTTGAAGTTACACTTGAGCAGCTTGGTGGCTGCAAGCAATGAACACCAAGGTAGTTCATTCCTTACCAGTGGACTGGATCTGCATGCACAGCAGAGAAGACTTTTAGACATGCTGTTACTATTTGGAATCAATAGGAACTATGAAAACTTGGTTGCTGAAGAGTCCTGAATTTATTGACTTTGCAAGAGATTTGAGACAAACTCCTTGATGGTACAGAAAGCTTTTTTTTTCTTTTTTTTTTTTTAAGATAGAAAAAAAATTTAAAAAGGATATTTCAAATTTCTCCCCCCCTCACTGAGTGTGACATGAAGTACATGTTGCCACATTATGTTCTTAAAAGCACAGCTCAAGGGGGATGATTCAAGTCGGAACACCCTTGCTGTCTATGGCAGTTATGGTGGGGACAGCTTTTTAAACCTCCTGTTTTGGCGTGCTACTATCATATATGACCACTTACCTACTTGAGAGTTTCTAAGACTCCTTCTGAGCATTTGATTCTGGATGGAATTAAGAAGAGAAGAGATGAGAAAGTGGCCCAAATAAAAAAAGCTCAGGTCCAGGCAAAGGTGGCAAACATTATATTATTCTTTTGCTGTTTTTTGAAGTATTTTGTTGTATTTTGAAGCAATTGTTTTAGTGTAATTGTGATGCTCAAACATCACTTTTGCACAAGGTTAGTGGCAGTTTCCAGTAGGATGGTGGGCCCTTCTGTGAAGGGGGAAAGAAGCATCTGCTGCTTCAAGGTTTGAAAGAGCACAGCACTTTCCAACCTATGAACAGAGCAGAAATGGCAGCTGTGGATATACCTCACAAATGCCACAGAAGCACTGAGAAGAAAGGATGGCTGGCACCTGAGGAGCCGCAAGAGCACAGGCCAGGTTGGCAGCTCTTCCCTTGTCACAGAATGGAGGGTCAGCCCATGATTATTAATGTAAATACTCAGAAGTTAGTAGGGGGAAAATGGATGGGACTGTGCTCTAAAACCCACATCAGCATTTTTAGTATGCAGTACAGCTGTGAGTTTGAGCTCTTCCCATTATCTTTTGAAGGTGTTTGGAAGATTTCCCTCGTGTACAGAGTCAAAAGAGAGTCCCCTGAGGCTGGGGACTAAGAATAGATCCCGTGAGCAGAGAAAAGACCAAAAGGCACTATACAGTTACATTTCTCACACCAGATAAGCAAAAAACCCCTTTTACTTTCATCTTTTATTCAAATTATTTTACACACGTATTTTTTATAGATTTCACTAGTGAATTATTTTCACTGAAAAAGAAATCGTGTTGTGTGTGCCTTTGTTGGGCTAGTTTCTGATCGCTGACTGTAAGAACTGCACATGCAAATATCAGGCATCAGGCTGTATTTCACTTGAAGCTTTGCAAGGGGGCAGGGCATAGACCCTTGGGAAAGAATAAGGTTTCTATCAAAGAAGCTAGACTTTTGTGTTCTTTAACAAAACCAAAACAAACCAAACAGAAATCTTCTGCCGTTTTTTCCTCTCCCCTTTTGTTTAGCAAAAAGGGAGACAGATCCCTGGAAGGCCTGAGATAGACGCTCTTCTTGGCAGTCACTAGCTGACACATTACTCCCCCAGGGTTTTGGGGCAGGGTACCTGCGACAACAGCTCAGTGCGACGGGGAACGATCCCCCTGATCGGGACGGGGAAAGCGCAGGGCCAGACGCTCTTTTGGGCTGTCCGCAGAGAGCCAGAGCCGAGGCCTGGCCGGCAGCCTGTGAGAAGGCTCGGCCGTGCTCCGGCACGAGGGCCCGGGGCCGCCGGCTGCCCGGCAAGGCTCCGCTCTGCGCGGAGGCCCCCGGGCGGAGACCCCGCTGGGGACTCGGTCTGAAGGCCTCGGCTCACAAACGTGAGGGAGCGCCGCGCTCGGCTCCCGGACCGCCGGGCACTGCGTGGAGGCACCGGCGCACCCCTGCGCTCCGGGAAAAGGCAAGGACGCACAGACACGTCGCCTCCGCCGCCTGCGGGCACAGACGATCACCGCTGCGGGAGCGCCCACGCCGCTGCCCTCTGCGGCCGCCCTTGCGCGGGGCGGTGCCGGCGCACGGACGCGCCCCCTCCCCGCGGCGCGGGCACGCGGAGGCCCGTGCGCGGGCACGCGGCCCCATGCGCCGACCCCCCGCGCGCGCCCCCGGCTCTATTTGTTTACAGCCAATTACGTCACCCACCCCGGCCAGCCCCACCCCGCCACCTGCCGTCACGATGGTGCGATCGCCGGATTGGCGGCGGCGCGCCCCCAGCGCCGTGACGCCACTTCCGGTCGGTAGCGGCTATAAGAAGCGGCGGACGGCGGGTAGCTCCCTTCGCCCCTCGCCGCAGGAAATGCGGGGAGCGCTGCCGCGGCCGCCGCTGCTGCCGCCGCCCCCCTGCCGTAGGAAGAGGAGGCGGAGGCTGCCGCCCCCGGGATGTGATCTGGGCTCTGCCGCCTGCTCCGCGCCCAGTTAGAGCCGCGCCGCCCCCGTCCCGTCCCGCGCCGCTCGCCCCGCGACCCGTCCCGACCCGTCCCGCCCCAGCACCGGCCGCCCCGGAGACCTGGCTGCCGCCCGCCGCCGCCTCCATGCATCCCGCCCTGTACACCCGGGCCAGCATGATACGTGAGATCGCCGCGGCCGTGGGCTTCATCTCCAAGTTCCTGCGGACCAAGGGGCTGATGAACGAGCGGCAGCTGCAGACCTTCAGCCAGTGCCTGCAGGAGCTGCTGGCAGGTGAGGGCGGCGTGGGCGCGGCGGGAGCCGCTCCCCCCCGTCCGCCGCGGGCCGCCCGCCCGGACAGGGTGGCGGCGGTGCGGGCGGCACCGCGGTCCGCGGGCGCCCGGTGAGGGGGAAAGGAAGAGGTCGGCCCCTCCGAGGGACTGGAGCCCCTCCGCGAGGGCGACCGGGGCTCCGCGGCCGCGGCTCGCCCCTTGCGGGGACCGTCGGTGCCGAGCCGGCCCCGGCGGGTGTGGGAGGCAGGAGCGGGGTATAAACAAAAGGGGCTCGGGCGTCGCGCAGGCAGCTCCCCCCTCCCGTCCTTGCCTCCGTAGACAAAGCTTTCGAGCAGCCCCGACTGAGCTCCGCGCCAGGGGCTCAAACCGCCCGGTTTCCAGAAAGAAAAACGCTCCGAAACTGGGTTTTTTTGTCAAGTAAAATTCATCGGCGGACGATGAGTGTCGGTTCCCCTTTCTTCTGGAAGCGTCTCTTAGCCGCTCTACAGCCCTGGTTAGGAGCAAATACCGTGGGTTCTTTCGCTGCCCTGTGGGTTTTGTAATCCCAAGCCTGCGTCCCAGTGGGCTCGATAGTGGCTACGAGTACCCTCAGATCGATAGGGTTTTGGGTGGGATAAAACTCCTGAGGTAAGTGAAGTCCTTGGTTTCTCGCCATGGAAAACAGGCTGGGAAGAGCAGTGGTGAAATACAGCTTGAGTCAGTCGGTAAATGCTGCCCAGCTTCCTCCCTAGTTATTTTTGGGTGTTCTTAGAATGTGAGAAGCTAAGCATGGGTGTGATCTCAAAAGGATGCTGGAAAGGGTCTTTTTTTCCTCTCTGGTTTATGATGTTTTGAAGCTCTTGAGTTTTTTTGTTATGTTTGTAATGATTTCTGTATTTTTGTATTTGTTTTTATGAATACCCGGAAGTTGCTTTTCACTCCGTTCTGGTGGTGGATGTTGTTCTCTATACAGTAGCACAAAACAGTAACTTTGTACGAGTGCTTCCCAAGGGACATTGCACTTCCGCAAATCATCATTAGAAATAAAACCTATAATGATTTTTCAAGTCATTTTATGCTAAAATAATAAGCTTATTAAGATATTGATGTATGAAATTTGCAAGAGACCAATAATCGCTGCGTGTTATCTTTCAGCACGGAATTAAGGAGGATAACGTTTGTTTTTTATTTTATAGAACATTATAAACACCACTGGTTCCCAGAAAAGCCATGCAAGGGATCAGGTTACCGATGTATCCGGATCAACCATAAAATGGATCCTCTCATTGGACAGGCAGCACAGCGGATTGGATTGAGCAGTCAGGAACTGTTTCAGCTTCTTCCGAGCGAACTCACTCTCTGGGTTGACCCGTACGAAGTGTCCTATCGCATTGGAGAGGATGGCTCCATCTGTGTGCTGTATGAAGCTGCACCAGCAGGAGGTAGCCAAAGTAACACCAACATGCAAATGGTAGACAGCAGAATAAGCTGTAAGGAGGAACTTCTCTTGGGCAGAACTAGCCCTTCCAAAAGCTACAATATGATGACTGTATCAGGTTAAGATATAGTCTGTGGATGGATCACCTTAAAATGGATGGATAAATTTGGTTTTTACTTTGGGTGGGCACCTCTGGGGATGGATTATGGAATTTAAACCGTGTCACAGCTGTGAAGATCTGGCGCACGTTAGAGTGGTATACTTAAAGTGACAGTGCCATAGTTTGGACAGTACCTTTCAGTGATTTAATAGCCTGTGAGTCAAAATGATTGCAGCTTGCTAGGGAGTAAGAAGATCTAGGAAGTATCAGTTTCTCCAAGACACCTGACTTAATTTCTACACCAATTTTCAACCCCGATCTGTATTTATAAAGTGATTCTCTGCAGTAGGTCTTGCAGAGTAAATTTGCACTATTACATTTATTAATTGTTAGCATTTTTGGCAGCTCAGTAACAAGACTTAAGAACACCATCGTACTGGAAATTTTAATTTTCAGACTTTTACCTAGCACTTACAAATATGTATAAATGTACATAAGATAAAATAGTAAGAATAACCTGGGGAAATGGTCAGATCTTTACACTGGCCTCAAAAGTAGCAAGTGATCAGAATCTGCCATGGCAACAGGCTTTAAAAAGACCATATAAAGACACTGTCTGAACTGTGGTGTTAGCACCAGCCAGCTATCTGTACATTTGCTAGCTTGTAGTTTTCTAAGACTGAGTAAACTTCTTATTTTTAGAAAGTGGAGGTCTGGTTTGTAATTTCCTTGTTCTTAATTGGGTAAAAGTCTTTTCCACAAACCACCATCTATTTTGTGAACTTTGTTAGTCATCTTTTATTTGGTAAATTATGAACTGGTGTAAATTTGTACAGTTCATGTATATTGATTGTGGCAAAGTTGTACAGATTTCTATATTTTGGATGAGAAATTTTTCTTCTCTCTATAATAAATTGTTTCCTATCTTGGCATTTTAATTAATCTCTTGTCGTGATTACATAGGATCAGTTAAATTATTTTTGTCTCACAGTAGAAATAAAATAGGTACTATAAAGGCTTAAGAAACATCAGTGGCACCCTGATGCTAGGGAACACTTGGTACAGACCTGGATTAATGAAGACCTCACATATAAATGCTTGGGAAGTTTAGGGGAACACGATGTATATGTCACTTTAAACCTTGTAAAATCAGTCAATGTGGAAAAAACTCCAGGGCCAGTAATTCCAGGATATGAGGAAAAGGTACAGAAATAACATCCACCAAAGATGACTTGAATAAATCCAGAGGATTAAAGTTTACTTGGCTTCCTGATGAAGGATATAGCAAACCTAAATGTCCATCGTGACCTACTTGCTCACGAGTTCACAGTTCTTACCTGTTGGATTCCCTGCACAATAAGAGTTGGGACAAGTGTCCCATAGCCTTAAGAGCAGCTTGCTGCCTTTTGCTTTCTTCAGATGCAAGACTTTCACTTTAGAAATCATTAACATTGGATTCAACAAAAGGTATGTTGATCTTTTTTCCCAAACTTTAAAGGTTGGCTAAGGCGAAGTGAGAAGCCCATACTTATATGTGTATTCATAGTTAATGGATGATGTAGAGATGTGATTCACTTAAGCACCACACTAATGTCATTTGTATACAGCACAGCAGATACACTTGAGAGAAATTCCTTACCAGTCTACTTACACTTGTCAGAGTGCTGGAGTAAAACTCAAGACTTTTCTGTTCCTTATCTCCTGTGTACTTTGTACCCACCTTGGTCACTTCAGTCACAAGAACTGCTGTTGATGCTCTGAATGAAAAGACAGCCATCATTACTTGCTAGCCAAGCTTGCAAGCTATGAGCATCTGACTTGCCAGGAGTTGTTGCAGCTCCTGCTCAACTATGAATGAGCCTTTACAATTAGGCAGTAGTAATGTGTTGTATCTCCAGTTCATGTCTTTGTAATATAGCTGATCTGTAATATAGCTGGTTATATATAAGCAAAACATAAGACTGAACTGTCCAGCTTTTTTTTTTTTTTTTTTAATTTCTTTCCCTTTGTTTTTTTGAAAATTCAACTTTACAAATACAATTTTTACAATGATCTGCATATGTATGACAATATTCAGCACTTCAAAGTATTGCTAGGGCTTCTCTGGCACTGTGGCTTTCTAGCATGGGCTGGTGGAAGTATAAGTGCTCCTGAAGCAGTGAACTTGAAAGATGTTGCTCTGTTGGCATCTGACAAAAGATGTATTGCCAAAGCTTCAGAGTGAGCCTGTGTTATAGTAAAGTGCAGGTGTAGCTCAGGTATAGGGTCAAGGTTTAGGCTCATGTTTTGATACCTTAAAAATTCTCTTACTTTTAAGATGACACTGAATTGTTAAATCTGTAAGCAAGAAATTTGTTCCAGTGGAAGGAGCACTCAAAACACAATTTCCATTGTGTTACATGTATTTAAATAGAAAGAAAACATTGAGCTTGGCTTTAAAACTGTATTAAACTTTCATGAAGCTCACTGCTGACTGAACCATGCCTGGTATATTGTGGTGCTGCCTGCAGTCTTTTCTGCTGCACAGCAAGAGCAGCATCAGAAGGGGTAGCTGTATAGTTGGTCTTTGACGTGAGCTCTGCACATTATGAAAGCATCAGCTGTCAGTACTTTCTTTTTGGTAAATTAAGCATAGCTTTTTGAGGCAGCAAGTGTTCCATCTGTGTGACTGGCATGTGACACTAAACCAAGAGTGAGCCTGCTCCTTTAGATTGTTAACATTTTAGTCCTTTTATGGTAAGGTGCTTTCATTCATGGCATAATTTTTAACTGCAGCTGTAACTAGTAATTGGTACAACCTATGTCCTCAGAGTTGCTGGGATTTATTCCAGCTGGAATTTAAATATACCCCAATGTGCACACAATGTGCCCTTGTCTGAATTTGAAAGTACTTAGCATACTGTGGCAGCAGGGCATAAGGACTCCTGAGAGAAGTGGAGTATGTCTATAAGAGTAGGCTGTTGCCAATCCTGTGTTTTGTTGCAGGTGGAACAAACAGCGCACTAAGCTAAATGCTTGTCACTTTTGAATTTCATTTGAGGTGCCATTACAAAACAGGCAAGGCTGTTATTTTAATGCAAATGTTAGCCATGAGAACACATTCAAGACCTGCTTGATCAGTGCACGTTAGTTAAATAAGCTGACTTTCCTTGGGGAGCCTGAATAGTCCTGTAGTTGTTCCGAGGGCAGTCTCAGCTGTACGAGGCTCTGATGTTACAGCTCTTCTCAGTGACGGATCAGTCTGCTCAGACTTGTTGGCCATTCAGTAAATGTCTTTTTATAAAGTGTACAGTCCTTTCTAGTTTATGCCAGGTGAGCAAAATTTCATTTTTTTTTCC